GACACCCAGGATGGGGATGGGGACACCAGGGACACCCAGACCTGTGAGGGGCGGGGGGAGAGGGTGGCTTGGGACACCCAGGATGGGCATGGGGACACAGGGACACCCAGGATGGGGACACCCAGGATGAGGATGGGGATACCAGGGACACCAGGGACACCCAGACCTGTGAGGGGAGGGGGGAGAGGGTGGCTTGGGACACCCAGGATGGGCATGGGGACACAGGGACACCCAGGATGGGGACACAGGGACACCCAGGATGGGCATGGGGACACGGGGACACCCAGGATGGGGACACGGGGACACCCAGGATGGGCATGGGGACACAGGGACAGTCACCAGGGATGTCCAAAGTGGAGCACGTGGATGGGGACAGGGTGAGCAGGGGTGCTCAGGATGGAGATGGGGACACCCAGGGTGGTGAAGGACAGGGAGAGAAACAGAGGGACATGGAAGGTGGTCCAGGATGGGGACAGGGACACCCAGCCTGGTGGAGGAGCATCCTGGGGACAGGGACACCCAGGGTGGTGCAGGGACATGGGGACAGTGACCAAGGACACGCAGGGTGGTGGAGATGGATGGGGACAGTGACCCAAGGACACCCAGGGTGGTGAAGATGGATGGAGACAGTGACCATGGACACCCAGGTTGGAGATATGGACACAGGGACACCCAGACTGGTCCAGGATGGAGACAAGGACACCCAGGGTGGTGCAGGGACACGGGGACAATGACCAGGGACACCCAGGGTGGTGCAGGGACATGGGGACAATGATCAAGGACACGCAGGGTGGTGCAGATGGATGGGGACAGTGACCAGGGACACCCAGGGTGGTGCAGGGACATGGGGACAGTGACCATGGACACCCAGGGTGGTGCAGGGGCATGGAACAGTGACCAGGGACACCCAGGGTGGTGCAGGGACAGGGTGACCAGGGACACCCAGGATGGAGACAGGGACACCTAGGGTGGTGCAGGGACATGGGGACAATGACCAGGGACACCCAGGGTGGACATAGGGACACAGGGACACCCAGACTGGTCCAGGATGGAAACAGGGACACCCAGGGTGGTGGAGATGGATGGGGACAGTGACCAAGGACACCCAGGGTGGTGCAGGGACATGGGGACAATGACCAGGGACACCCAGGGTGGTGGAGTGGCATGGGGACAGTGACCAAGGACACCCAGGGTGGTGCAGGGACATGGGGACAATGACCAGGGACACCCAGGGTGGTGGAGTGGCATCCTGGGGACAGGGCCAGCCAGGCTGGGGATGGGGCCACGGGGACAGTGCCCAGGGTCCCTCCAGCCAGCCCCGGTGGCCCGCAGGAGAGCCGGAGTTCCGCTACGTGGCCGGGATGCACGGGAACGAGGTGCTGGGCCGGGAGCTGCTGCTGAACCTGATGGAATTCCTGTGCCGGGAATTCCGGCTGGGCAACCCCCGCGTGGTGCAGCTGGTGACGGGCACGCGCATCCACCTGCTGCCCTCCATGAACCCCGACGGCTACGAGACCGCCTACAAGCTGGTAGGGCTGGCACCGCCCAGCCTGGTGACCATCCCAGTCATCCCAGTGCCCATCCCAGTGCCCATCCCAACCATCCCAGTGCCAATCCTGGTGACCGAGGTGTCCAGCCCAATGTCCACCCTGGTGTCCATCCCAGTGCCCATCCCTGTGTCCATCCCAATGTCCACCCTGGTGTCCATCCCAATCATCCCTGAGTCCATCCCAATGTCCATCCCAGTGCCCATCCCAGTCATCCCAGTGCCCATCCCAGTGCCCATCCCAACCATCCCAGTGTCCATTCCAGTGCCCATCCCAATCATCCTGGTGCATGCCCATCCCAGTCATCCCAGTGCCCATCCCAGTCATCCCAGTGCCCACCCCTCTGTCCATCCCAATCATCCCAGTGTCCATTCCAGTGCCCATCCCAATGTCTGTCCCAGTGCCCATCCCAATCATCCTGGTGCGTGCCCATCCCAGTTATCCCAGTGCCCATCCCAGTGTCCATCCCAATGTCCATCCTGGTGCCCATCCCAGTGCCCATCCCAGTCATCCCAGTGCCCACCCCTCTGTCCATCCCAGTCATCCCTGTGTCCATCCCAGTGCCCATCCCAATCATCCCAGTGCCCATCCTGGTGAGAGCAGTGTCCGTGTCAATGTCCATCCCAGTGCCCATCCCAGTGCCCATCCCAATGTCCATCCTGGTGCCCAACCCAGTGCCCATCCCAATGTCCATCCCGGTGCCCATCCCAGTGTCCACCCCAGTGCCCATCCCTGTGTCCATCCCAGTGTCCATCCCGGTGCCCATCCCTGTGTCCATCCCAGTGTCCATCCCGGTGCCCATCCCAATCATCCCAGTGTCCATCCCACTGATCCCAGTGCCCATCCTGGTGCCCATCCCAGTGATCCCAGTGTCCATCCTGGTGATCCCAGTGTCCATCCCAGTGATCCCGGTGCCCATCCTGGTGCCCATCCCAGTAATCCCGGTGATCCCAGTGATCCCAGTGCCCATCCCAGTGATCCCAGTGCCTGTCCCAGTGATCCCCAGTGCCCATCCCAGTGATCCCGGTGATCCCGGTGTCCACCCCGGTGTTCCTGGTGATCCCAGTGTCCACCCCGGTGACCCCGGTGCCCACGGTGCCCCGGCAGGGCTCGGAGCTGGTGGGATGGGCCATGGGCCGCTGGACGTACGAGGGCATCGACCTCAACCACAACTTCGCCGACCTGAACACGGCGCTGTGGGACGCCGAGGACAACGAGCTGGTGCCCCACGAGTTCCCCAACCACTACATCCCCATCCCCGAGTACTACACCTTCGCCAACGCCACGGTGAGAGCCCGAAACCCCAAACCTCCCGGGCTGGCACCATGGTGAACCCCAAAACCCCAATCCTATCAGTGTGAGACCCCAAAATCCCAAACCTCCCGGGCTGGCACCATGGTGAACCCCAAAACCCCAATCCTATCAGTGTGAGACCCCAGAACCCCAAACCTCCCGGGCTGGCACCATGGTGAACCCCAAAACCCCAATCCTATCAGTGTGAGACCCCAAAACCCCAAACCTCCTGGGCTGGCACCATGGTGAGACCCCAAAACCCCAATCCTATCACATCGTGGTGACACCCCAAAACCCCCATCCTCTATCACATCCAGGGTGAGACCCCAAAACCCCCCGAGTCCCCCTAAGACCCCTCCAAAACCCCAAATCCCCCCCAGTCCCCCGGGGTGGGAGCTGCCCCCACAGGGGCTGCACTGGGGCTGGACCAGCCCAACCCCGCGCGTCACCTGGAGCCACGGGGACAAGGACGTGGCCACCACCACCACGAGGGACAGGTGACAGCGATGTCACCGCAGGGGTGGCCTTGGAGATATGGGTGACAGCGGTGTCACTGCATGGGTGGCCTTGGACACATGGGTGACAGTGGTGTCACCGCAGGGGTGGCCTCGGAGACATGGGTGACAGCAGTGTCACCATGCAGGTTGCCCTGGTGGCGTGGGTGACAGCGGTGTCACCACATGGGTGACCTCAAAGATGTGGGTGACAGTGGTGTCACCACATGGGTGGCCTCGGAGATGTGGGTGACAGCGGTGTCACCGCAGGGGTGACCTTGTAGACATGGGTGATGGCAGTGTCACCACAGGGGTGACCTGGAGGATGGTGACAGCAGTGTCACGACATGGCTGACCCAGAAGATCATGACAGTGGTGTCACCACATGGGTGACCTGGAAGATGATCACAGCAGTGTCACCGCAGGGGTGGCCCTGGGGGCACAGGTGACAGCGGTGTCACCACATGGGTGACCTTAAGGATGGTGACAGCAGTGTCACTGCAGGGGTGACCTCGTAGACATGGGTGATGGCAATGCCACTACATGGGTGACATGGAGGATGGTGACAGTGGTGCCATTGCATTGGTTACCTGGAGGATGATCACAGTGGTGTCACCACATGGGTGACCTGCAGGATGGTGACGGCAGTGTCATTGCATTGGTTACCTGGAGGATGATGACAGCAATGTCACCACAGGGGTGACCTTGTAGACATGCGTGATGGCGGTGTCACCACACAGGTGACCTGGAAGATGGTGACAGTGGTGTCACTGCATGGGTGGCTCTGGGGGCACAGGTGACAGCGGTGTCACCTCATGGGTGACCCAGAAGATGATGACAGCAGTGTCATCGCAGGGGTGACCTGCAGGATGGTGACAGCGGTGTCACCACAGGGGTGATCTTGTAGACATGGGTGATGGCAATGCCACTACATGGGTGACCTGGAAGGTGATGACAGTGGTGTCACCACAGGGGTGACCTGCAGGATGAAGACAGCGATGCCACCACAGGGGTGACCTGCAGGATGGTGACGGCAGTGTCA